AAAAAGTGGTGAGAGGAATTGGAGCGAATGTAGTTAAGTCCTCGAAGGGGGCGGAGCTGGCACATGGAAGCGGGGCTAGGACCAAAAATCCATCTCTTCAAAAACTTTCTGTAATGCGGAAAAATGGATTGGAGCAGTCAAAAGAAGGGTGGTCAAGTTTATTGTGGAAAGGGTTCGCACTAAGGTGGACGGGGCTACGATCAACCACTAATAACTGTGCTCAAATATATCGAGCGTGATGCTATCAGCAGTTCAGCGTTCGAATCTAGAGAAAATTATCATATTCTGATTATCCAACATTCCGCTGAATGACTCCATCGTGGATAAGTGGCCGTCGAGATATACTGCGCGCGTTAGCGTGCATAGCCAAACTGGTACAATAATATTACAATAATGGTATACAATAATGGTCTTTCTAGCCCAAGAGTGAGCAACCTCAACCAAAGTAGCTGCGCCGACTCGTACCGAAGTTAAAATTTTGAAAAATAACGGGACAATATTCGAATTCATTCTCAAATTTTGTCTTTCTCCTCTTTTCCTGTCCACCCCCATACCAGCTCCCCTATCTCACTATCGCATTCGGAGAGGGTAGGAAATCACAAATGACAGCATCTGCGGCCGGCTCAGCTGATTATGTATCAATGCAATCGAGTGCAATTCAGTGGAAGTTGCAGCAAGGATGCACCCACATAGGTGGTTGGTGGCTTATATGATGGCAGTTCATAGGTTAGCTAGGCCATGGGAATATGCACTTCTGGTGGATCGACTCACTCAGCGAATTGGGACTATCAGAACTATAGAAATCGAACTTGTTAGGCTAATTGTAAGGTGAAAAAGGACTCACCGATTTAAGCCGACAGGATAGTGATGCTTGTTGTATCTCTCAATCAATCGACATGTGTACCACAAAACCAATCCGGAGGTGATATCCATAGCACTGTAATAAGCAAATGATGGTAAGCAAATTGAGAAAAGTCAGTTGTTAGGTGAGTTTTATATATAATACCCCTTTTTATATAGTCATATACATATTTAGATATCCCTTCCTCGACGCTTCCATCGTTGAAACCTCGCATTACCACTTTGTACTACTTTTTGTAGCTTCTTTCTTTCGAAATCTGCCGATTTTTGCGCTTTCCTCTCTTTTTTGCACTATGCTGCACCGTAACCTCCATTACTTCTCCTGAACTAGGTACGTCAGGGTTATCGGGACTGTGCTTCTGAATATGACTTCGTGTCGAGTTTGGTAATTGTAACATGCTAACCATTTCTACTATAATGTGGATTTTATGAAGCTACCATGTTCACTTTCTAAAAATAGAGCAGTGGTTCTGAACCCTGTTCTAATTCCGTCATAAAATTGCGATAAAAATGCGATGGTCTCAAAACACCTACCTGTCTACCACTGAAGCAACTATGGCCAATGAATCAGAAAGAACGGCAGCTGTCGTCTTTGCGCCAATCAGCGTCACATTTAAAACAATCGTTATGATTGTCAGTCGAGTGTCCCATACCTTAAACCCAAAGTTACAGCGATTCCCACAATTCAGGACCTTCCCAACACAATCTGAAGCGAAGTGAACTGATAGACCTATTTGGAGGGGAAAAAACCAGTTTCTCTGTGAGCCTATTCGCCAACGGGCCCTTGTATAGATGAGCAATCGCTTGACCAAGCAGTCTCTTCCATGACATCTTCTATTTGAGTGTGCACGTAGAATGGGAACACAAATAGCAGGGTTCAGGTGTCTATTCCGCCCCGGGTTAACGGGATGGAGTTCGTGCGCAAAAATTGCTCCCTCAGGACTAAAACCTTCTAATTTGGAAGGTACACAGTAGGCGGGATGAGAACCCCAATGGCAGGAGGGAGGGCTGGAGTCCACTCACTGGGAAGAAAATGGAGTGGGTGTCCAAAGCCGGCATTCTTATCCAAAAGCCTCCCCAACTGTGTACCGTGTGTGTAACAAGTTTTAGGTGGGGGAATGTTGGGTGATACACCGATTTGCTATGTCGATCTTTATCCTCACGACCGATCAATCGAAGCTTCTTCGCTTCAACCATACAGTGTTCAAACTGCAAGAAAGTTGAAGAGACTTTGTTGGAATGTTGCTGTGAATGCAGCGATAAATAATGACAACTAATTCCGAGAAGCATTGATTTGTACTACTCGGGCTGCTTCAAACTGATCTTTTTTTTTTNTTTTTTTTGAAAAGGAAACTGAAACAGTGATGATAGGCGCCAATGAGACTTATCAACCCCAACGTAAAAAGAAGACAGCCCTGTGTTCACGGGACGATCGAGTGGTTGTAAATAAATTGCTGTTCGGAAATTATTTAATTTAGATCAGCGCAGGTCGCTTCCGAAGAAGACTTCATTTTAAACGATTATTGTTCGAAAAGGGCTCGTCACTAGAGACGGCAAGTGGCATAGATGAATCTACCTACATGCTGATTACGAGCGCTGCCTTTTGACCGAATTTGATGATTTGGGAATTATTGTAACAAGAAAGTTCAGTTAGAAAACAGGTCTGACCATGGACTCCATTGCCGATGTGTCAGTCTCATGTCCCAATCCAAAATGAGCGTTCCCCTTTCTTAAGGTCCCTGCATTATAGAAGTCAACTGGGGGAGAGAAAACCACAGTGCACCTGCTTCTACGTCCTACCTGAGCTTGCTCCTACCTTTGTTCGTTGCTCGCTTGCTGCTTGCGCCACCTGATCATCCACACTGACGCTGTTGTGCAAATGCCTTTCATCTTCTTTCCAGGCTTCGATGAGTTCTTTTTGATTTTCGTAGAATTTTTCTACGTTGACTTTACTTCGCTTCCCACACAAATACATGGTTAGCCAAGTTCCTCAAATACACGCGAATCAATATACGATTGATCAAGACAACAAGTGTTTGATGTGGATGCAAACGAAAGGAATAACTCTTACTCATACTAAGTTCTAGGAAAAGGATACAAGCTTGAATGAAATGAATCATGTGGACCGCCTTCAGATGAAATTAGAAGAGGAGAGGCACGAAGAGCATCAAAAACTAGAAGTTTATACGAATCTTTGGTAAGCCCATCAATGACACTTGATCAATAGCATATGTACATATATTCTTCGCCACCAGAATTGTACCCGAATTGTATGCCACTGGTCAAATAGTTCTAGAAAATCGGTGCTGCTTCGCACAGGTTGGGGCTTTTACCTAACTTTCTTCCCTTCCTATAACAGCAATTTTGGAATTTCCCTAGGATAACTGCAATAGAGCTGGTAATTAGGGTTGACGTGTGCTTCGAAATGTGATTAGCGGATGGAATAGTGAAGTAAACTAAACTTCGTGAATAGTTGAGGCACTCTCTAGAGTTTTAAGTTAGATGAATAAAAGCAGCTAATAAAGTTCTATTGTGGTAATCAAGCTTCCCTATTTTCGGGTCGAAAAGGAGCTATCAATTTGAAATTAGAACTTTTTCAGTTGGAATTTTAATATTTTCTCTAGCTGGGCGAACAGTTCAGTCGCCCTCGCTCTTGTCCTCGCCTATATTACACCGCATTTTTACCTTCCAGTGTCATATAAAGTCCGTTTCGATACATCATGCAAGCACATACATAAATAGGTAAAGGTCTTGGAGCGTTTCTGAACAGTCTGTGAGAAATAGCAGAGGATAGTGGACGTGTTAGAGCACTGAACCCACTAGTCACTAATTTACTGCAATAGCAGGACTTATACTCAAAGTAATTGTTATTTTCTCTTTCATGCCCTCAGCCTGGGCTGCCTCAATATCGATGATGGAGTTTAAGTAGGACAATCATTACAAGACTAAAGCTGAAGGCCCTGAAGGAAGTGTTATAAATATGATGTAGGCATAATGTGTCACAAAAGGTTTCGACCACCCAATTTGAGTAATTTCATGGCGCTCTCATGAAAACGTGAGGCGGTTCAGAATACATCGTATGGTACGCATTCTAACACACAGTTATTTGGTTCTGCATTCGTATTTACTCGTTCTGTTCCACAAAGCTGGTAAAAATCCAGAAACCCTTTGTGCTGCATGCAAGCGCTATTATCACTAACGATCATTAAAAGGGTCGCTGAGAATCAATAAACATGCACGGCATTAAAAAATTCATCCGTTAATAATGGGTGGAAGTACTTTCACATGTTAGCCATATACAAATTTGCGGAGAGCTCGAACCCAGAACTTTTGGTCCATTCAGTAATTATCAGCCAAATAGTAGTCAGCAGTCAAGAAAGGGAGAAAAGTAGAAAACGAGCCTGAAAGAACAACGACCCGCAAATGCTTATCACCTACCGCGATGCGAGCGGAGGTGGAGGGCTCCAAATAGCGCTTTCTTTGTCAGCACTGCTGTCGATATGCCTTCTAATTATCGAAGACTATTTCTTTGATGCTGTAAATGTTTCTCAATCAACTATGTTCAATGTAATTTATTTTCTTTCAAAGACCACATCATAATGAGGCAGATCAACTCGTCCAATCCGTTGGATGTACCCGTAATTCTGCATTTGGCGCAAGCTCCAATAAATCTGCCGAAAATTCTCGTTTTCCTCAGACCATAAGCTAAAATATTCATCAGCTCAAAACGTCATTCTAGGGAGTAGCTAGTGTTAAAGCGAACTCACTGTCCACGAATGGCCAACTGATTGAACCTGCTCTTGCTTGCCATTCGCAGCAGTTCCGGAAAGATTGCTACTTCTCCTCCTTTCATGTCGATCATCAGCAAATCAATTTCCAAATTGCCAAATATGCGAGTCATAAGATTTTCTGAAAAAAGTTTCTCGGACTTGATTACATGGCCGGTCATAACTTGCTCAGATTGCTTCTATATCAACGATATCCACGGATCTCATTCACTGACCGGGTAGTGACGAGGCTGCCGAGATGCTGGATAGGAGGATGAATCGCTGAAGGAATGTCACCGGTAGCTGCCACGTAGGTGGATTCAGGGTATGGACTCACTGTTTCTACTATGCTGGGTCGATTTATACCTTCTGTATCATCGCAGGTGTATCCATGCAGATGTGTAAGGAGAGTCTGTTGGTGGGGTTGGCGACTGCCCGTTGGCTCAGCCAAACGCTCTTTATCAAGTGATAGGAAATTAAGCATCGAGGCGATCCGCCTGTAAGAAACAAGCCCATTAACTACTCTGGAATGCCTGAATAACAGCACGGAGTCCACCAGCCCCGACGTCACAACGTGGTAAGCTACTCTTGGATACCAATATACCAAAAATCGTAATATAAAATTGCCTAATTCTCCTAAACGTGTATGGGTCTCCAAAGCGACAACGTTGAGCAGGACAGCTCCGAACAGGCTAATAAAACCTCAAACCAAAATAGGTATCAGGGAAAGACTCAGGTGGAGGCGGACTTTCAATTCATGAATACTTGCATCCAAGATGGTATTGATGCAAGCCATGAAGGTCAAGTTCCGATCGGCTGAGAGGAGAAGCCATACACCGCTGCACGCCTGCAACTGGAGAATACTGGAGAGTACATGCTTGGAGCATGCGACAGCTAAGGCGTCGGTGGTGTAGATATCCTCTTCAAACACACTTGACCAGAAACACCAATGTGTGCGAAAGCGGACGTCTGCGATTGGGAAAATACCTCACCCCAGCTCTAACAATCTCTGTTGCCTAGGCACCAACATCAGACTATAAAGAGTAGTGGCTGGACGCATTTCATGTGAACGTGGGGCAGCTCTGAAGAAAGAGCCACGCTTTCTCCAAGCACAAGCTAATGGCATGTCGAAACTACGCAGCCTACCTACAGCTTAGGCTGCCTGATTTTGACTTACCTTTATGGAAGCCTAGACTTAGAACGGTGTGTAGCTTTGCTCAACTCTTAAGGGTTCCTCGATACTCCCAACAGCAGAGAGGAACATCGAATTATTATACAAATCCTGTTCGCAGTAAGAATTTTTCCAGCTGTTGTACAGGGTGACCCACATGAAGTGTGACACAAAAAAATAACAACAAAATTGTTCAAATCAAATCAAATAAGAAAAATTTACTACTATACAAACATCATAAAATTGTAAACATAATATCACATCTAGAATTCAAAATGTCTTCCTTTGGCTTTGATGCAAGCGTCCAACCTCTTTCGGAAGTTTTTAA